TAGTGATTTCGTAATGTTTAGTTCGAAAAGTAGAAAGCGAGGTAATTTGAACGAGATCAGTTATGAGCTGAAAGAAATTTGTTAAAGACATGAATTTAAACCCGGTGGCAAGCAAAGGTGGTTACATTTCGTCAAATTTTAGTTTTAATAAATGATATAACTTGTTAATAAACTTTTTAGTTAAGATCTACCCTTATTTGGATTCTTAAAATCTTAGAAGACTTCTAAAAATTGCAAAGACAAGAATTCCTTCTATAGTACAGGAGTGTTAAACAATTTTTATAATAGATAATCAGATGTAAGATTACAAGTCTTCTTGTCATATATATATATCTTATATAGGGAGTTGGAAAAGGGTGGCTACAGTGGTTTCCTTAAAATTTTGAGGTATTCTTCTGCTAACGGGTCACCAATCGTACTTGTTTGCGAGACGACCGCCTTATATGCTAACGTGTTTATTTTAAACCACAAGTAGTTATGTGATGTTATAATTGGACGTCGCTCCAGTAATCTTCCCTTCAATACATTCAGAATTGAATATATTATTGAATATTTTCAGTTTCTTTTTGGTTTTTTTAAGAAAGAATAAATATTAATTATGTGATTTGACAATTACTATAGAATCGGATTAAATTCTTTCAGAAGAAAAGTATCGTTCATACTGAAAACCTAAAAATGATATTGCATTTTATTACTACCGGAGCTACAAGATGACGATACAACGACAGATTGTGTCAGGAAAACAAAGATTTACAGAATGGATTTCGAGTTGTTTGCGCATTCCATTTTTAATTTCTGCACGCTTTATTTACTTCAAGAGCTCGCGTTGGTTGAAATGTGTCAGCTATAAATTCTAGTCTGGGTATAAGTGTCGACTGGAATAATTAAATGCGTAAATTTCTGTATTTGTAATTTTTTAATTTACCTTGGATATAATTTTTTTTTCATGAAGCTGTACACAGCAGCATTAGGAGTTTCATCCCCTGTCTCTAGTTAGATTTCGCGGTAGCATTTCTTTGATGTCAAGTGGCGTCCTGTTAACGGGAGAGGTACTAAAGTCTATTCCTGACACGTGCTTTCTTAACGAGGACATTCAGCTCTTTGCATAGTGAGATCTGATAAATAAAAAATTTTAATTTTTGAACAACATTCGTATAGCAAGATTTTTAAAGAGTAAAATGTTCATTATTTGCTTAAAAGTTAAACGCAAAAATTTCTTACTTTTGCGTTAAATTCATTGAGATGCAAATTTAGTGAGATTTCTGAAGGACACTACAAAGCTAACAATGAACATGATTTACTCAATACATCTATATTAATCGCTATTTGTTTTTTAATTATTTCGTAAGGCTAGAAAATATAAGGAAATATTTAATTTGAGTCAGAAATATATATTGAAAAGGGATTTAACTGAGCGAATTCCTTTTTTAGTGTCTTCACGAATGTTGCGTGTAAAATGTAAGAAACGTCTTGGATTTAACCAACTAAAACACAATGTATATTTTACATTTCTCAATCTTTCCATACTTTCAATGTTGAAACTGTTAAAAATTTCTGTAACATATTTGGGAAACTTTTCTGTTCAAAGTACATATCTAGGACAAATATTAAAGACAATAAAAAATCTGAAAGGTTTCAGATTTTAAATTACGTCCAAAGGGGCGTTTTTTTAACGTTTTGTGTGTTAGCTTTATTTATTAAATATCATGTTCTTTGCACTTAAACCATAAAATTCAGTTCAATAGGAATGTCGCAAAATAGTTTTAAAATGAGCATATCTTTAGAATTTCCGATACACAGTTCCGCGCGCTGGAGATAAAAAGGTTTCCCCCCCCGTAGAGTGTTGCCACTGCTCGCTTTGAAATCCTTGAGTTTGTTAATCAAAAATCCGTTAAAGTTTTACAATATATTAAATCGATCTTAAAACAAATTCCAAATTTCAAATTTGGTCTTCCACATACCCATATTCGTAGGAGGATTACGTCATTCAAAATTCGATGGCTCTATGTACCGTTGTTTTATCTCAATGAGAGAAATATACATACATTTATGCGGATTTTTCATTATTTAATTTATTCAAATATAATGCAGGACTCTAACATTCGGTGGCAACAGTTTGAAAAGTAAAACGGACATTTATAGTGATTCAACGCAAAATCGCAAAACGAAAACAATAGTCCTTCAGGGACAAAGCCCCTTTGGACTAAAAATATAGCATTAAGTCCCCTTTTACAAACAGCCTGCACAGAAAGAGTGTAGCATAAGAATAAACACGTGAAAATAATATAGCCAAATATGGAAAATAGCTGCAGAAATGTCAGAAATATCAGATATAAAGAAATGTTTTTATAAGGTACTTACTTTACGTCTGTGGAAGTATAATTTTACAGCAGTAAATGACTTTTATCTTCATCTTCCAACTGTGCATTCTGATGAGACTGTATAGCATTATGCCTTTGTTATAGCAGTTGTATTTTGTATATACTATACAGCTTATAATTCAGAAGTAAAACAAAACAGCCTAATGAAAATACAAAGACGATATTAATAACGCTTGAGCTTGTAGTAAATAATGTCATATTATTTGGGAATTATTTTTACCCATAACAGTACATAATGCACATGCATATAATCCTAAACTGCTCAATCTTAAAAATGATGCAAGTGTACAGCCTTTAATGGTCTGCTTCATACTGTCATTTTATCCAGATAGAAAAGTGATGTAAACAAAAACAAAACTCATGTCCATTGTTGAATGCAGAAGAAAAATAGACAAAAACAAGAAGAAACAGAGAGTTTAAGAACTTTGAATACGATTTAATTTTTGTAGCCAAATGAAGTTATTTTCTTGACTAAACTGCATGAAAAAATAGTTAAACTGCTAGGAATACTCTTTTCTTAATCACATTATGTGCTTTTAACATTTCCTGTGTTTTTAAAAATTGTCCTCGAAGTAACCATGATTTTGTTTTAATTATGGCTATTGACTTGCCATAATGCTGCCTAGCATAATCAGGAGTTGACTGTATTTACTTTACATGATTTGACTAGGATACCTTTCAATAAGTTATATTTTGAATATTAAAGAGCACAGGAAAACGGTCAAATTAATGCACTCAATAATCAGTACGGCGAGTGGGATGAAAATAAACATTCTTAGGCTGGTATTACACATCCATTTATTTCAGACGAGCAATTGCTTCAAACAATTTTTGTACCTGCTTTACTACTGAAAGAAAGACGCACAAGTTTTTCCATCATTATCCATTGTAATTTGTTCATTTCCAACCACCAACAGCTATTAGCATCGAATCTCCAGGCATCAACCATCCTTTGTAATCGATAACTAGTTTTTCCTTACATGATTAACTTCAAAACGATCCTCGGCCCACCAGCGTCCTAGCGGTAAAGTCGCTGAACACTGGTAGTTCGGTCCGAGGTTCGAAACCCGTGAACGAGCTGGCTGCATCTGTATTTTAGTGGTTTTCCCTTTATATTACATGTATAGCAGCCAATCTCCCTTAGAAACTCCTCCACGAAGGCATTCCTTCCCTTAGGCATATAGCTCTTGAGGCTTTGGCGTAATCACACCAACCAAACCAAAACGATCCTAAATGACTGGCTGTTTCGTATCGTATGACAAAGGAGGAAAATAATTTTAAAGAGTTGTTCTTCCGAAATGTTTTAAATGTGTGATACAACCTATATTTTGCTTTGGTAATTACTGAATAAAAGCAGTTTTTTACAATACACAAAATCTCTGTCCAGCTATTCTTCGGTGATGTACTTGCTTAAATCCGACTATATCGTTAAAAAAATAGTAACAAAAAATAAAGATTGCACTGAAGAAACATGTGCCGAGAGATAAAAATTTTTAATTAAATTTTTAAGATTCTGATATTTTTGAATGGCAGTGTTGATTTAGGAATTAATATATCTTATTAACAAAATTTACTAAACTTTGGTTCAGATTTTAATAAATTATAAAATTCTCATTTTTCAATATTTAATAAAACAATTTTTTATCACTTAATAAACCTTTTAAATTGTTTTAACCTTTATCCTTTTTATAACCTTTTTATCGTAAAATGCCAATACATTACACTCTGTTACTTTATAACCGGGCACTTCACGGCCATTTTTTTCTTATCCTGTTTGCCTTTTAACGATAGTTGATCGAGTTTCCTAATTTTCCGCTCCTTTCAATTCGTGAAAAATGCTTCAATTATTGATTTAGATTTAGTTTATTATGGCAAATCACACTAGGACTATATGCCTAAGGGCAGGGATGCTTTCGTGAAGTACTTTGTACGGGAAATACCTCGAATACACGTTACACATGGGAAAAACCACAAAAACGTGCATGAAGCCAGCTATTTCACGTAGATTCTAACCTAGGTCGGAACTATCAATGTTCAGCGATTTTCCGCTCGCTCGTTGATGGGCGATGCATGAATGAAGGCTGTATTGAATTACAGTATAAATGAAAGAAATGAATTTTTGAGAAAATAAATGTACGAGAGCGACGACACTTGTTGCGATCATAATAGTGGTGTGTCAGAAAGGCTTTTAATGGCTCTTTTTTAAAGTAACAGACTATAAGAACTTCAGGTCACTTCTTGTTTGGAGAAAATATTTTTCTCGCTCAGTTTCTTTAATCTAATACCAAACCTGAAACCGGACATCTCTACTTGACATTGTAGAAAAAAAAGTAATTTCTTTAATCTTGTTCTTATATTTTAAATAAAAAATTAAGCAACTGAAATTTGATAACTTCGGTGGTTTTATTATTTTTTAAGAAAGGTTATAATCCTCCTTTTTCTTTTCCAAATTTACTGAAACTGATGGATGAATTGTTCATTTCGTTTTCTTAGCACATATTAGTTGAAGACTTAATTAATCACACTCATCGAACTTTTCTGTATTATTTAAAGAAATGAAATATTGAAATAAATGAGTCTCTTAATTGAAAATACAAATCTATTTTTGCATTTTTTCAGGTACAAGTACATTAACGTCATTTGGTTCTCTGCCCATTGGCTTGCTATGAGCAATTCATGCTACAACCCATTTATATATGCCATATACAATGTAAGTACCGTTTTCTATATTCCTTTTTTTATGCTTTATTGTTGCTAATTTTACATTTAAGCGCATCTTTCCTTCCGGGGACAGTCAGCTCCTAAATCATCGGTAACCAACAACTTTATTGGCAACGTATTGGATTCTATGGTTCGTTTTATTTTAATGGTATATCTAAATTAAATCTATACAATTAAATATTTATAAATTTCCACAATTAAAAATGAAATAACAATCATTACATTCCTTCGCCTGTAACTTACGATTCCGTGGTAGTGGATAATTAACTTTCAGAGTACAATGGGATTCATACACATGACGTGTTTACTGCCTATACCCATATGGCGAGAGCTAAAGCCCAAATTTTAGATGAAAAAAAATTAGCATCAGTTACGTTACAAGACTCGCTCAAAGTTTTGAAAAGGGCACATCATACAGCATTTAAAATTATCCGGTGTGGCAATGGACAGTTTTAATTATGCGCTTATCCACCAATCATTATACTAAACGATAACAGATTGGGTACTAATGTTATAAGCAAGGATGTTATTAAGAGGTACTCAGAGGCGCTAATCTTTGAGAGAGGCTCCCATCATTGCCCTAACAAAAGTTGCTTGATCCCATAAATGTATTTATTAGTTATTAGCTTAGTCGGGGCGACATGGTAATTTTTTGTTGTTGAAACTGAGTGTCAAAAAAATAGAAGAAACCAAGGCTGAAATTTAGAGTGCTCCAGCACAAATGCTAGAAAAGGATCGTACAGTCAGGAAAGCAGCCAGTATTGCACCAGTAGTATCGCCGTTTATCATTCGAAGTCATTTGTATCCTGTACAGTTAAATTCGAAGATGACCGACAGAAGTTGCGATGGAATATGTGTATCCAGTAGAAGTTTACATTCCCAACACAGACAGAACCGAATTAAGGTGCCGGACTTTTATCTTGCACAATGTCAGGCTGGCTTGCGTTTAGTGATGATAGTGCCTGGAGAGACGTAGCCGATATCCTCTAATTGTACTACAAAAGCAATCTAACGTTTAGCATTATCTAACGCTGGGCTCTTAAACTTTTATTAATCGAGACCCCTTTTTATCACTGAAAATTTTTCGCGATTCCAGATATTATATATACAAAGATATAAAAATAAATATCGTCTTCTAAATAATTTACTTCTTTGGTAAACAATATACATCTTGTTAGGTTTTTTTTTTTTCCCCTGACACCAGTTGTTACGTTATTTTCTTCCTTCACGTTCGTACGGGGTTCGTGTGGATTTGGAGTGAATAATGACGACACTTGATGAAGTATTGAAACACACTTTATTTAGCCAATATTAATCAGGACAGCTCCAAAGTGACTTTTTCAGTCGTCGAACTGTTATAAACACGCTGACACGTTCAGCGACACAGCCTTCACACTGTCAGGCTATAACGGTGGAGACAGCTTCACTGCAAAGCACCCGAGTACAGCTCCCGACTCTGTTTAGTCTTTCTCGGAAATCCACGTTCTCTCGCGACACTCCACGCGATGCACTCGACGATACACAAGAAAATAGCCCTCGACTCTCTAAGACAAAACTCGACGATGCACTAAAAGACTCTCTCGATGCACTCGACGACCAACTCGGCGCTAGGTTTCGAGACACTAGCTCAATGACTGACTATCAGCTCGCTAGACGAGGCACACACTAACTGACTGCGGACCAGCAGGGTTTACATAGCTTTCGACTTGTGTTCGAGAACATTCTGAGCTAAACCGGTAAGAATTCGATCCAGAAGGTTCTCCAATCGTTCATGGTCTATTGTCAGTTTTGTCGCCAAATGTGGCAACCCTGCCTTCCCTTGCCATTTTATGGCAACCCTAAAACTGCTTTGCGGGGAAGCCATCTCACCGCCCCTGTACATTTCGTAACAATATAAAAAGAAGTAGTTTGTAGCGTTGCGCGCCTCCAACTTGCACGCAACCAAGAGGTGACTGTTGAAACTGGATAAAAGACAGAGTCTTGTTAAGGGTTTAAGTCCCTTTTTATTCAACGTAATAAATTACAAGTGCGAGCTCTTGACGCTCACAAACTACGCCAACTTGGCGGTAAAAAATAAAAATAATAACCTGAAAAGAAAAACTAAAGACAAGACTCTAACTACGAGGCTCTCTAAAAGTAACTAACCTCACCGCGTTTTTTACCATACCGCTGCTAATTCAGCAAAACTTGAAAGATCACGTTGAACAATTAACAATACTTCCAGGCAAGCACACAGGCCGAAACGCGGGGTTCTTCAATTTCTGGCTAACTACCTCCGCGCTCGTGAAGTAAGAACAGCACACCTCGAACTCGTTTCCTTTCTATTTAACTCAGAATACTTCCGCTGATAATTTGAATCCTTGCGCGTTCTACTAAATTTACATACTCTGGCATTGGCAGTTCCAGGGGAAAGTAAGGCTTGACAGGAAAGGTAGTTTAAGCTTAAAATAAATGTTAGTTAAAATAAATATAAACCCTACAAGTTTAAGGATTTATTTTAAGCAAACAAAAATTAAAAAGAAAATTCGAATGAGACAGATGTGTTCGTTTCCTACTGCATAAACAAATCAAATGTTAGTGCGATATTTGATACTGCTGGATATAAAGCATCTTCAACATGTTTTAACATTGAACGACATTTGGTTTTAATTAGCGTTAAAGCTGAAAAAGCAGTTTTATAGAAATATGGGTTGCTGAATGAGAGAAGATCACTTAAATGCCATTTCAGAAATAATGAGAAATCTACTTCTAACTCCCAGCCAGAAATCATCAAGGATTTTTGTGAAAGTTTAGGTTTTAGGTTTGAATCGCTAGATAGATTTACCAATTCTTTTTGCACTTTATATAACAAGTAATTAATATCAATCAATGTAATATCTTTATAGGTCTAACCTCGTTAATGTCAATTAATGCAATTACATTAAATGTCATATGAATGTAGTCGCTTTAAATTCAACTATCGAATTGAATTTTCGTAACCGCAAAATTTCGATTTGCGATCCATAGTTTAAGAGACACTGATCTAAAATCCTTACCCGGAAGATAAGACGAATATAAATCAATCAATTTTAAAGCAAATGCACAACTTACAAACATATAAGAGTAAAGAAAGTGAAATCACTGAGCCGGGTAACAAAGTGGATATATATCTATACATATATTTATATATGTTTTCGTGCGGCCGATTGCAACCAAAATACGAGGTGCACATCTACATGTTATAGCAGTCCTATACACAAAATTTCAACGTTCTGAGGCTACTAGTTTTTGAGTTATGCGAGATACATACATACGTACGTACATATATCACAAAAAATTCTCTTCAGAATTCATTTTAAAGCAGTTTTATAATTTTTTTGGAGGAAAAGTCTTCTATTCTGTCTTTACGTACAGATGTCACGCAAAAACATCGTTAAATTGCATTCGATAGCGGTCAAAATTGATATTTTGTAGAAATATGCTACCTGAAACTTTTCACGATTGCAATACTTCCTTTTTACTTTCGTAGAAGGAAGTAACAAAAGCGAGGGAAATGTTACCTTGATCCCATTTACTGAAACATGGACTTTTTTTTTTTTTTTTTTGTGCTTATTACGTGCTCCGCCATTAGGTACTACACGGAAAGGGAGGGATGCTGGTGATATAGTATTGCTGGTGAGAGTCTGCGGCTACTGCCTATGCTGCCGTGTCGTCAACGTACAATTTACCGCCTCCTTTTATTGTGCAATTTTATCACTAATGTCTTTAAAGCTTTAGTGTCTTTTTTCGGTAATACAGGTACCCAAATCTGTCATCAATAAAACACATTTGCAACATGCTGGAAAGATACTTGCAGCCTTCTTAAACTGTAGAAGGCATGCTCAGTACATTTTATTTTATCATGTAACCGCAGCTTACGCATAGTTTGAGGGAATTTGGAATAAGATCAAAGTTCCTTACCTGTCGTTAAAGAGTAATCTAAAACTAAAATCATAAGAAATACGATTAAAATGCAGAAATTTATTTATGGCCCATTTTCAAATTTTGCTTACAAATGCTGTTCCAGAAGAAAAGAAAGAAAATTCAAGATAAATTATGTTTAAAGTTTAATTTGAGCAATGCATTGCATAAAGATGACTAATATTTCTACAATTCAAAATGTAAAAAATTCAATTGAAATGTTTGAGATATAAATCTTAAAATGTGTGATCGTAGGCAAAAATGCCTGTCCCTTTCAAGTTTCATGTTATTTAACCTCTTTGGTTTACAACCTAATTTATTTTGTTAAACAAAGAAGTTTAATTATTTTAAATATGAAATATTAGTGTGTTACATTCATGTTAAAAATCAATTTTAGAAGTTGTTTTCTTTAACAAATCAATAGAAAAATAAATTGTCTTCCACTTCATGTCAAGCCCTTGAGATTATTTTGCCCAAAATTTATTTGTAAATGTATCTAAAAGGGGCAGTACATATTCAGTGACGTAGATAAACTAGTCCAGCCAAGTTTGATTACATTGAATATGTACTGCCCCTTTTAGGCAGATTTACAAACTAATTGGGGGCAAAATAATCTCAAGGTAAAGAACTTGACATGAAGTAGAAGACAAATTATTTTTATTGATTTGCTAAATTTCTATCTAAAACTTTTCAAATGATTTTTTATATTTTAAATTGTAAAAATATATTTATAGTCATTTTATGCAGGCATTGCTCAAATTAAAGTTTAAATATTAATTTATCTTGAATTTTTCTTTCTTTTCTTCTGGAACAGCATATTAGCAAAATTTGAAAATGGGCCTTATTTGTTTCAGTAGCTGTAAGGAAAAATAAAATAGCGCCCAGAGACACAAGCACTATAAATTTTCCATCTGCGGTGTATAATAATTTCGAAGGTCAAGTCTATATTTTGGCTCACCAGCGGCCAAGCGGTAGCTGCCGCTGAACACTGGTAGTTCGAGCCCCGGCAAGCGGGCTGGCTGCATGGGCGTTTTCGTGGTTTTCCCATGTATAACGTGGATACGAGCCAGTTTTCCTTAAAAAAGACCTCCAAAGGGC